GTGTGTGTGTGTGTGTGTGTGTGTGTGTGTGTGTGTGTGTAATAATAATATAATAAATATAAGATTCATGAAATCATTATTATAATGTCCTCATTAAATTTATCTGATTGGAAGGCAAGGATTGTACGAAAATGAAACATTTATTTTTAAAATTCACAACAATTACTATCCTGCTTGCATAAATAAAAAAATAACACAATATTGTATATACATATTACTTACTAATATAAACTATACATTTTCAACGATTGAAGACGAATATGCAACACACAAAAAGAAACATTATCACTCTATTGTTGCTGTCATATTGCCATAAAAATACTAATGACGCACCGACAAATCATCAGTTGTCGTCATGTTGCCGTCATATTGCTAGTAACATACCATATTAATATTTCTGATTGCTTGTTTTCAAAATTCTATCAACTAAATATTCATATAAACATTCATGTTGCTTAATACGATAAGATACTTGATGACGGCAAACAAACAACAACTATTCAACACTCATGCAGTGCATTAGTTTTCTCGATATGATTAATCACGTTTGGTTATCTCTGGGAACTGTTTGAAAGTAATCTGTTATAGTTACAGCTCTTTATTTTTCATAAAGAAACTATTTACTGTTACCGATCCTAAAAAGTAACGAGTTACAGTTATAAGGTGCATTCTGTTTCACGCATGATGTGAATAATATCATTTATAAACATCATTTATTGTTTAACATTCACTCAAAAAAAAATATTTTGCCGATAAGCGGGGAATTACTCTTAGCATTTCCTCTAAGCAAAAAATCTTAAATGAATCAGGCGCGTGTATTTATAACACGTATTCATCTATAAAAATGAGGACACATGAGCTACGATCAAAAATAAATTCCTCTATAGAAAATTCTATTATAATAACTCGAATAGCCTTTTAAAATAAAAGAATATGCAAGATACTTCTTGTATACATCCTCTTACTTCAAAAGGCTATTCAAATTATTATAATAGAATTTTGTATAGAGGAACTTATTTTTGATCGTAGCTCATGTTTCCTCAAGACGTGCTATCCTAGCTACACATTATTGTATATATATATATATATAT